AAACTTCCCTGCTAGCCTGAGGGAACATGGGGATACCCTCAAGAGAGGAGGATACCAGGGGTTTAGTTCCCCCATCTGCGCTTATTGACTAACAGCACCATTAAGGTATGTTGAGCGTGCATTCCTGAGTGTGAGGTCTGTCACGTTCTGAGTCCTTTCAGGGTAGGCAGGGGGAATCCCAAAATGCCTCCGTCCTTTGAAACAAGTACCGTCCTGTCTCTTTCATCATACAACATTTGGAGCTCTTGCACTGAGCATGCATGTAATGTCATTTAAAATCTGTGACTGTTGAGTGCTTGGGATGGGTAACTGGGTCAGGAAAATTTTTGCTGTTCCATTGGCCTTTCTGCCTCTGTGACCCTGGCATGATAAGTAAAACTAAATAAATAAGAGTCTACAGCCATGCTATCTGCTCTGTGAGTCTGTACAATAATTTACTCTACTGGGCCAAACAGTTAAAGCCAGAGCAACATGACCTCCTCTCTACCATGGAACCTGGTCATGAACATGTAAGAAGCAAAACACAAGCACCATTCAAACAGATGGGAGAAAATAATAAAAACACACTGAAGGAGAGAGAGAGAGACAAGAGGAAGCTAAATCTCCTGGAGGATGGAAATCTAGATTCTAGATAGATCCAGTAGTTTCTGATACATTTCATGTAAAAAATAAACATGTCATCCTTATGGTGGTGCCACAGGAAAAGTCAATGGGTCACCAAAGCCATCAGTATTAATTCTCTGGACACCATGAATGTCTGTGCAAAATGTAATGGCAATCCATTTGACAGTTGTTGACATATTTCAGTCTAGCTCAAAGCGGTGGAATGACTGATTGGCTAGATCCACACTGCAAGCATGGCTAAAATCTGTGGGAGTTCGGTTCTGAAAGGGAGAGGTCATCCCAAATCAAAAATACAAATTCATCCTCTTAGAGCTATCCAGTAGTGCTATCAACCAATCTAGATAGTATCTAGAGTCGTCAAGTGTTGGAATTATCAGCCATAAAGATGTCTGCCTTTTCTCCAAAATTATGGAACTATAGATGGCACTCGACTTGTGGTGCTAAAAGTACCAAAAAACACATTCACAAAACTCACCAGCAATTTTGCCAGAAGTCATGACCCGATTACTCAAGATAATCCACAGACCTTCCACTGAGCACTTCCATATCATAAGTATATTCCTTCTACCAAACTACACCTGCCAACTGTATCACCACACTGAAGGAAGTGTGTATCTACTGCTAGCTCACCTAGCACCACTGAGCTAGCTAATATTACAGCTCAGTAAAGAGATAAGACATGTACAGCTGAGGACACATTCTATTTGTAGCATACACGACATGCCCCGAAAAACTGCACCCACTACTAGTACAATACAAGCCCATCGGTGCAAGAGTTATCTGAACCCTGCAACAACGTGACATTGTAATTAACGAATAGGGCCAAATGTAGCAGTAGTACTCCACTCTGTAATTCATTATTTATGAAGACATGATTCAGCTTATAAGACCCATGCTGTAACTCTTTCCATTACCCTTACCCTAACCTTAACCACCTCTCTTTTAACCTAATACTTCATAGTTAGCTAAATGCTAATGTAGCATTTTCTGCTTCTAGGCCAAGGAGTGAAGGGGGATGATCATGTACTGACGTGTAGGTATGGTGGGCGAATCATGTAGCCATTGGGCAGGTCACATAGCTGCTCCAGCTGCAGCTACACTTTGGCAGCGGAGCATGAGCCCCTCGTCCATGAGACCGTGGTCATACAGTTGTCGGGTGTGGTTTGGTAGAAAGAAAATAGTTCCTACATGCAACTGCTCACAACAACGTCTGTGGATTATTGTGATTAATTGGGTCATGATTTCTGAAAAGGGCCATTGCTGTTGAGTTTTGAAAAGTACTTTTTGGAGCTTTTAGCACCACAAGCCATCTAGTTCTATTACATGGCAGACAAGGCAGTCATCTCTACAGCCGATATCTCCAACACTCAGCACCTCACATCAAAACCATATTCATGCGGTACGTTAAGATACACTTTAATATCCTGCTATTATTACAAATATGACAATATTCTGAATTTGAAATGTATTGTGAAAACAACATATTCCATTTAGATATTCAGAATAAGGCCTTTTTCTGAATGTAGCATTTCTTGATTAAGACATGAGGGATACGCAAGTATTATTCAGGTTTTAATAGCATTCTTTGGACATGTACAGTATACAGCACATTTGGAATATGCATCCCAATTACAACAGTTTGCATTACACGGTCTCTTGTCTGTTTATGGCCAGCTCTGTGCATTGTATACAAACCAACTCACCAACAGTTCTTAAGGCTGGGGTAAAGATGCATGGCCAAAAGAAAAGCCAACATTTCTGGTCAGAAGAAGAAACTCACCAACTTTAAAACATGATGACAGACCTGGATTTCAATGGGGTTTTTGGATATGTGCAAATATCTCAACACCGATCTTTTCATGAAGGTGGTTGAAGTAATGTAAAATGGACACTGTGTTCACATGGTCCAACAAGTCTGCCACTGGTTGGCAACTGAAAAAATTCTATTTTGATGCAAAGAAGCAAATTGACAAGCGTCTCCAGATCTTCTACTTTTTTATATTTTGACATGCAACGATTGACGTTCATGTCAGTCGGAGTATGCATGGCTGCATATGAACGGGAATATTAGTGGAATATTCATTTTCATTAGACATGTTAGCATCTCAGCAGAAATATTGTCTCTTTTATTGTGCCTTTCTCTTGTACGTAAACATAGTAATTGATAAATAGCACTACAGGTAAGAGGAAAAATGTGTATTTTTGATTTTGGTGTTAACAGTCCTTTTGAAGTGGACAATGCAACTGGTGCAAAAGAAATCTGTGCTGCCCTAATGGCCCTTCTGCCACTGCAGTGCTGATGTGAATTACAGACTAAACATGCATGCAAGTAACATTTGTGTGGGTCTTACTGCTTGTAAAATCAACACAGATGCTTATAATCCTGGGGGGCAGAAAAAATCCAAATCTGGGCAAATGGGTAAGAAAGTGTCAGTGGAGCTGAGGTAGAATGTGCAAGCAGCAACCATCATGGTTGATTATGATAGCCAGGGACACCTGATAAACACACCCCAGACTTCCATTTTCTGTCATTGGCACCCTAATGGAATAATTACTCCATAATCACCAACACATTATTGAATAACAGAAACCATGATGTTCTTGAGGAAAACATTTCCCCCCCCGTGTAGTTGCATTTAGCAGCCATTTAGAGGAACTACACCTTAAGGCACTTCTGCATCGACTTTACATTTTGACCATGGTGGTTTGTTATATTCAGTATGGTTTCCTAGGATAAGTGTATATAGCTACTGTGAAAAAGTCAGTGAAATCAAATAAATCAGACTTTTTATTATTAAATTAATCCCATACATTTCATTCATTCAGCATGGTTAAGGAACAGGCAATACATATGTTGACAAAATATATAATAATAATAATAATAATACAAGATGAGGTATAACACAACAGTTCAAGTAAAAAAAAAACAAATTGAAAAAAAAAAAAACAAAAAACAAATTTGTGAAATGAGTACAAGACTAGAGATCAGGACACATGACGTGGATTACATTCATCTGCCAGCAAGAATTATTTGACCACATTCTCGCCTCTCACTGACATAAGAAAACTATGTGCTTGAGTCTCAGGTTAATTTCACTTCTCCTTTGCTAGCAGACTCTTGCATTTTTAAACATTGTACTCATTTCACAAAAACTGAGGTTGGTAAAAAAAAATGACAGTGCATGCATGTACACATAATGGATGTGAGAGAGCACATTAGTTTCTTTTTGTGCAAACATTTTGATGCTCCAGTTTTCACACAAACAGACTTAGCTATATCTTATACTCTTATACACACGCACATGGACAGGCTGCTAGCTGTAGCACATGCAGCTCAAGACTGAAGACACTCTGAAGTATTAACAGACAAAAACAGCAACAGACGGGACCTTTGTAAATTCAAACAAAGCATAAGGGCAAACCAAAATCACACAAACACACACACATGAAAAAAGGAGTCCTGCATGCTGTATGTGGTGTACATTAGATCACTGGACATTTTGTTGTGAAGAGCGCATTCTCTGGTTTGCAGCAGATGGCCTTAGCAGTTCCTTCCCATCATCTTAAGGCAGTTAGGATGGGAGTGTTCATGTTTATTTGTTGTGCAGGTGTTCATATTGTTCAAGGGGACATCTTCTTTGCTGGGAGAGGCAAAGAAGGCTTTTTATCCACCTGCCACTTTGGTTGGTGGATTCCAAAAATCTACCAGCCACTCAATAGATTGCCATTGTTTTTTTTTGGCTGGTGGGTGAAGCAAATCTAGCAGCCACTTGCATATTTGACCAGCACTTGGCTGGTGGCTGGTGCTAATTTCTGACCCTGGCTGTATGCCTCCGCACACTAGTGAAGTTGCATTGACAGTTCACATCCATTTCTGTGAAATTATGGATGCTTTAGATGCTTCATACACATCTTCAACCCAGCAGCACAGAACATCTATACAATCAGCACAGTTTCAAGAAGGTGGACACCCAAGATTAGTGTCGCCAATTCCATATCTGACCAAATGTCTCCCCTTCTGTTCCTGACATAATGATGTTAAGTAATGGCCAGAAAAGTGTTTTGCAGAACATTATGATGTCACAGTGAAGTTGACCTTTGACCTTTTTGATATAAAATGTCATCACTTCACCATTTTATCCTATTAGACATTTGTGTGAAATTTTTTTCATCATTACATTAATTCTTGAGCTATGGCCACAACCATGTTTTGTGAGGTCACAGTGACCTGACCACCACATTCTAATCAGTTCAAGGGAGTTTCTTCAAATTTGAGTCCAAGTGGACGTTTGTGCCAAATATGAAGAAATTCCCTCAAGGTGTTCTTGAGATATCTCATTTATGATTATGTGAGGGATGCAAGGTCACAGTGATCTTAACCTTTGATCACCAAAATCTAATCAAATCATCACCGAGTCCAAGTGAACATCTGTGCCAAATTTGAAGAATTTCCCTTCAGATGTTCTTGAGATATTGCGTTCACGACTGTCGCCTTTAATCACACAATAACATTCATTTTAATTAGCAGTTAAGGCAAATCTGCTTTCCAAGAGTTTGGGCTGATGAAACATTCATCGAAAACTTTATCTGCTGTTTTATATGTATTGTTTTTCAGTAAGCCTATGCTAATGGCTTTCTTAATGCTTTGTCATATTTAATGGTTGCGTCAAGACTTAAGAAAAAAAAGATACATCTCTCAAGAAATGGAAGTCTTTTCATGTCGTATTGGAAGAAAGAAGAACAGAACACATTTCTGTAGCAAAAATGGGAAGTGGTCACAACTTTCAGTTTGATTTATGGCTTTAAAATAAAACAAAGTGGTGTGAATGGTTTTCTTCAGCCATGGCTGGTAATTACAGGGAATCTGATGCATCAACACAACATGACCTGTCTATCACAATGATCTGTGGTCTGCTTGTCCACATTAGTTTTCACTTCTTGTTTAATAAGGAGTGTGTCATACAGAGATAAACTGTACGTAACTGGTCACTGCCCCTTTAACCTCAAGGAGGCATGATTATTGCATGTTTGTTTTATCTGTACTGCTGCATTCTTAAGACAAACTATGAAACAGCTTTAAGAGACAATGAAGACAAATTAACAACATAATTTTGATGAAATCCCTCTGAAGACAGTGTGGAAGGTCTACCTGAAACATTAGGATGCAAACAATAAATAGGAAATAAAAAGGGAAAAAATCATTATCATAATAAAAAGGAATGTTAACCATCTCCCATGGGGATTTTCCTGCACTCATTGTAACAAGGTCTCCATTATGACTGCTGTCAGTGTTAATATATATTTCAGTGTGTTTGGAGAAGCACACAGATAGATGAGTGAGCCTGTTTAACTTAACACTTTAGCTAATGCTTACTGTGGAGGACTGCTGCTGAAGGTTACAGGTTGGTGTGGGAGTGTGAAATTGAATGAAGTGAATGAAATATCCTCATGGCTTTAGTAGTAATCACTCACACACATGCACATGCACATGTGTTTGTCAATGCTGTGTGTTCTTTAGCTGAGAAGCTCCAGGTATGTGACAGGCACTTTTCCTTTCTGGTTTCCTCTCTCTCCAATCAGCCAGTCAGAGTCCATTCCTGGCACTGTGTAAACTGTAATGACCTGGAACACAGAGCACATGGACACTTTAATGCCTAATATTTGAAATGTATTGCTACAGCCACAATAACAGCAACTTATTCCATACAAAATTCAACACAGAGTGCACCTCATGCAATGTACACTACATAAAGCACTACAGATGACTTCTTTCATGCCAGCTGCCCCCCCCCCCCCCCCCCCCCCCCCCCCCCCCCCTAAACATTCTGGACAAACATTACACATAAAATATCCTCAACTGTAGTCATAGGATTCCAGTCTCTCCTTCTGTATGTCTGCTAGGGAAATCTCTCCAGTTGAACTGCCAATAAAATATGACCAATCCATACTGGTTGCTTTAACAATCACTGAAAAGCAGGGGTGGGTGGTAATGCATTACAATGCAAGAGTAAAAAATCAGTTTTTTATGGATACTTTTGATACTCCTTTTATTTAAATTGTGCTGTACTATTTACTCGAGTATGCTTCTGAGCCAATAATCTACTTTTTACTTCACCACTGTTTTAAGTACAGGGATGAGTGTAGAGAGCTGCAGATGCCAAAGTTCGAGCTGCCTGAAAGAGAAAGAAGCACAACTTCCTTTTGAGCACAATGATTTGATGACAGAGCAAATTCCAGAACAAGAAGCAGCTTCCAGCAACAATCCCTGACCACGTCTGGCCACACTTTATCAGTGTTGGGCAGTGCCGCCACTACTTACTAACTTAACTACATTTCTCAGTAGTGTGGCAGTAACGTCACTACTTTCTGCTACTGTTTTAAATCATATCTTACTGGCAGAGAATTTTTTATAAGCATGGACGAATGCTCCTCAGAGAGGTATGAATTGTGGTCAATTTTATGTCCAACTCTTTTTAATCTCTATATGTTGCCACTGGGGGACGTCATCAGGAGAGACGGCATTAATTTCCATAGTTATGCTGATGACACACAGCTCTACATAGCCGTGTCTCCTGATGACACTGGGCCAATAGATGCCCTTTTAAAATGCATTTTAGATATCAAGTCATGGATGGCAGATAACTTCTTACAGCTCAACCAGGACAAAACAGAAGTACTTGTCATCAGTCCTGAAGCACACAGAAAAAACTTAGTTTAAAACTCAAATCCCTGGCCTTTAACACATCTGAGCAGGTAAAAAACCTTGGTGTTATTTTAGATTCAAAATTAAATTTTAATGCTCACATCAAAAGTATAACAGAGAGTGGTTTTTATCATCTCAAGAACATTGCCAGAGTGCAGCCATTTTTATCTCAAGCCAACACAGAGACACTAACGCACGCTTTTGTCACCTGCAGAATTGATTATTGTAACGCTCTTCTTTCTGGTCTCTCTAAGAGAAGCATTGCTCCACTACAGCTTCTTCAGAACAAAGCTGCACGGGTTCTGACAAGGACCAGAAAGAGAGCACACATCACACCAATTTTCAAGTCTCTGCACTGGCTACCTGTCTGCTTCAGAATCGATTTTAAGATTCTCTTGATGGTTTTTAAAGCTCTTAATTGTCTTGGTCCTAATTATTTATCTGATTTGCTTTTAACATATGAGCTCTCTAGAACTCTCTGGTCTTCAGGCAGCGGCCTTTTAATTACTCCAAAAGTTTTAACCAAAACATATGGTGAGGCCTCCTTTTATCATTACGGCTCACGTTTGTGGAACAATCTGCCTGAGGACTTGAGGAAAACAGAGAATGTGGACATTTTTAAAAACAAACTGAAAGCCGACCTTTTTAGTCTGGCTTTTAACTGAATTTTATTTATTTTATCATTTTTAACCTTTTTGTCTGGCCTTTAATTGAATTTTATTAATTTTGTTATTTTTACCTTTTTAGTTTGACTTTTAACTGAATCTTATTTATTTTATTATTTCTATCTGTTGGATATTTACCGAATTTTAATTTACACAGATATTTTTATCTCTCTATAGTATCGATTATCCTCTCTTTGGTGTTTCCTCACTTCAAAGTGGTGAGTGCAGGATAGTGTTTCCTCAGTGTTTTTAAATCTTTGTGTGTGTAAGTGTATGTGTGTGTGTGTGTGTGTGTGTGTGTGTGTGTGTGTGTGTGTGTGCGTACGTGTGAGTATGTGTGGGAGAAGGGGGGATATCTCTTGTGTCTATTGTTTGTTGTATTATTTGTATGTAAAGCACTTTGGGCTGCTTCTTTTGTATGAAAAGTGCTCTATAATTAAAGTTTGATTGATTGATTTCTGAGTCAAATAGCTTTTCAGTTGTAAAGCTAATTAACTGACTGAGTAGTGTGGTAGTGTCCACAAAAGTTACAAGCTCTTTTTCCCAGGAAAAACTCTGAGGTGCAGCGGACTGTTTTTCTGTTGAAGTCTGGATAAAAGTAAGGATAATAAAACTGAGGATAGGTAATGTGAATGATGCCAGTGCTACACCGAGGCACGAAGATGAGGAAAGCACTTCCACATGACATCACTTAGCAAGACCCACCCTACTCTGCCTCTGATTGGCTACATCGCACTTCTTGATGTTTCTTTCACGTGTCTTGCCCATAGACTGTATACATTTAGAATATTTGCAGTGGACAGTAGAGAAATAGACACAACAAGGGCCAAGAAAAGAGCTAGAGAGACGGAGAACAGTATTAAGAAGGAAGAGAGGAGTGAGAGAGAGTGACAGTGATTACACGTTTTATGTGCAAGGCATGTTCATGTTCTAATGTCCCAAGAAAGAAAAGTTCATTTCATTTAGGTCTGTTATTTTTATTGACTATATTGCTGCCTTTTATTTATAATGGTTTTATTGACTGAAAAATAGCCTACATTTTGGGATTCTGTTTTTGAATTACTTACATAGCCAGATAGCCTACTTAAAAAGGCCAAGACAGAGTCAGGAATTAAGTAGGAAGACAAAAAGAGAAAAAGAGAGAGCAATAGGCTGACTGATGATGTCATGCTATTGGATGTCACAAAGTCTACAAATTTTTTTTTAATTTAAGTCTATTATTTTATAACAGTTTAACTGAACATTTGTTTGCCTGTCTATTTGTTTGGCTGACAGTTTTGCTTATCATTGAGATAACGCTGATTTGACATAAAGATAAAAAAAAAAAAAAAGAACCTCCTTTTGCCATTTTCTTGTAGCTATGTTCCTCTGGGAATAGCTTAAATGTAGTAAAACTTTATTTTAATGTAGAGTAGCTTGTAGGTTAGCTCACTACATTTTCCAAGTAGCTCGCCCAACACTAAACTTAACTGTATATACCAACATCTAACAAAGAAGACAGTTAAATGATGAAGTGTCTGCTGTGCCCCCGAAAAACACTGAGATCTCCACTTTTAAAAACTCCTCTTCTAACCTCCACATTCAGTTGCACATACTGCAGCTGAAACTGCAGCTAACTAATGTTAGCTATGTTGATTTTTCATGTGTAATGTTAATTTTTAATGTTGCGATATGGAAGAGAGGGGTAGAGAGGAACAGAGAGAGATAGAGCGGGAGATTGACTTATCAGTTGTATAGGCTATCTCTTCTTTGTTCGATTAGCTGACCTGCTCAACTTCATTAAAAAATGTCTTATCAACAAGTGCTGAATTTTAATTGTTAGCACTGGCCCACCCACCCTAAAAATAATAAAAGTGACTTGTACTTTGAGTAATCTATTAACTATTTTACTTCTACTTGAGTAGATTGATTTATTTTGTTGTTGTTGTTGTTTTTAAATTATGTACTACTTTGTCTGTCCTTCGATATTTTCTCTCCTGTTCCTATCTTTGTTGTACCTGTAAAGCCACATAAAACTGCAAAATTAAATTCACTTCCATTCAATGTGAGGGAAGGGCCAATAAAACATTCGCTTCAGGTGGCAAAGCAAGTTCGCATTTCTCATTGCGTGAAGTTGCAGCTTCAACCACTAGCAAATAAGTGTGTGTGGCTGAACCCACTTGACTGTCACTGGCTGCAATCTTCTGATGGTGGAGATTGTTGCCATTTCTAACCACCTGAAACTGTATTGTTCCACAATAGTCGTAATTATTATTATAATATTATTACTTAAATGCATGTTGTTGTAAGCTACTGCCATTAATGTCTGTCCTGCATCTCTCTGTCTCCCTCTGTCTCTGTCCCCCTTTATGTCTCATTTTTTCGTATGGAACACTGTAAATTTATCATGTTGATCTGTTCTGTACAACATCTATTGCTCATTTGTCCGTCCTGGAAGAGGGATCCCTCCTCTGTTGCTCTTCCTGAGGTTTCTACCATTTTTTTCCCGTTCAACATTATTTTGGGGGAGTTTTTCCTTATCCGCTGTGAGGGTCCAAAGGACAGAGGGATGTCATTGTAAAGCCCTCTGAGGCAAATTGTGAGTTGTGATATTGGGCTTTATAAATAAAATTGAATTGAATTTATTGAATTATATTGGTCATGAAAAGTACAAACTGTGTGCGTCCAAAATGTACAAATCACATATTTCATGGTTTTTATTGGCAAGCTACCTAGCATTCAATTTTTAGCTTGCAAGTTACAACCATCACATGTAGCACTGCCCACATTCAGCACAAATATTGTCTCAATATCACAATACCGCATTCACTCATTTGTGACGCAATTACACGCTCCGTTTTGGGTTTTTTTCCACCAAAAAATAAACTAAAATAAATTAACGGGGGTAAAATACGCTTTAAAACAACAAATAGTTGAAATTAAAAAAAACAACTAGGAAAAGAATTTGACATAATAAGACAATGGCCTCTAGTTTCATGTCAAGGTTATACAGAGGCACGTGCTGGTGGAAAGACCATCAACAAGCTGGAAAGGCGAGGCTATTATAAGTTACAGTCCTTAAAATCTTCATCAGGGTCCCTAGGTCATCATGCCACTTGAGTGAAGCTGCTGTTGAGACCTAGACCTGTTAAGAGTTCTGGCCCATAACCAATAGTCAATATTGAACCCACCAGCTGTAGGTTGATAATGAAACCATACCTCGTCAGCTAAAAGAGAGAGCTCACTGGAGTCAGCAGCATCATAATCATAAAGGACTTTGGCCTTGCGTGTTCCTGTAGCTGGTGCCTGAACTTCTTCAATCTTCAGTGTGTCTGTCTCCACAGGGCTGCTGATGCCCTCTGATGCAGAGTCAGCCGTAGCTATGGACTGAGTGGAGTTCAGTGCAAATGCGTTGGGAAGCCTGAGGGAAAGCAGGCAGATAATCAGAACATACATATACTGTAAAATACATCACTGATCTTATAGCTCTGAAAAAGCAGAGACAATAGTTAAGTATAAAAACAACAGCTTTGAAAGAATTGAAGACACTTCTTGGAACCATATTGTTGTCTGGGTGGTGCAGAGTGGCAGACGTGAACACACCGGACCAAAGGTGTTTTTTCTTTTTTTACAGTCCACTGGTAAAATGGCAAAATAATGACAAAAAAAGTTTATATAATTGATGAGAGATTCAGCACTTCAATTTATAAATATGTCTAATCTTTCTCCTGTTGTAAATTGTTGCCGGATATTGTTAAATGTGATACACTGCAGTGTTTCCACCATCAAGCATTTTAAGAATAAAACCCGAACGTGGAAAAATGGAGCCATGACGTACATTAATGAGGTAATCGGTTGTCTGCCACATAAACAGCAGAATCTAGAGCTCTAACTGACCAGCCTGATGTGTGTAGAGGTGTGTGTGGTTATTCTGTAGCAGCCTGGTGATGTGATTTAAAGCTGGAATCTGTAACTTTCATGAAAGTAACTTTTTGTCATATTTGCTGAAACTCTAACTACATCCACACAGTAGAACAGGCATGAAATCTGTGAAAAAAATCATGTTCCTCTGCCTCCTCTTCGTGCATCTTATGGCATTTGCAAGAATCACTGAATGTGAACAAAAACAACTAATCAATCACTGCTCTTGAACTGCAGTCAATCTGTCAAACTAGTAACACTGATCAAATATGAATCAAGATTCTGTTACTGCATTGTCTATTTCTCTCCTCACATGTTTTCAGAAACATATTTTAGTGACTGTTAAGCTGTAAAATGAGAATGTGTGACCCAGCTGACTTGGTGAGAACAGTTGAACGAAAAACAAGCACCACCCACCCGCTGGAGCAAACTTTCTCATTTTACGGCCAAACAGTACCCTGAGGGCCGAATTCACAAAAGGATTGCGTGGCTTTTGTGGCCGCTAAACCGGTAAAAATGGAGCAAACAGATACCGTCTAATTCACAAAGAACACGCAGAGGGTGAAATGCTCCACTAACTGCACTGCCAAGCAGATTGCGTCTCGGTGCTCCGGTGTTATTTGCACGTATTTAAATGAGGTAATATGCATATATTTGGTGCAAAAACTGCCCCTTTCTATGCAAATGAGCCTCATTGATAAACAACGTCTAATTCACTAACACCAGCGCTAATAGCCACACGCGGTTTGAGTGAAGTAAATAACGTCTTTAGAAAGCTGGTGCAAACTGGGCGCTCCTCTGTGGAAGCCTCTCGCCCAGACTTTCCAGTGATCGTGGCAGCAGTGATCGTCTGTTAAATCAGTCTGTAGCCTAAATAATATTTTGACATTATTATTATAATCATTATTACTTTAATGCCATCCAAAGATGGGTGACAGGTGACAGTCTGCGGTCGTTCTCAAAACGCACTTCTGTCACGCACTTCAAAAGCAACTTTCAATAATTTATTTTATGAAACGGGGGAAACAAACGTGAACAAAAACAGTTCCATAATTCATATAAAATTCAAAAGATAATGAAAAAAAAGCTAAAAGTGAGAGGGAATAGTGATAAAGTGGTCAAACTTGGTCATACCCACAGCCTCAACCCATCCGACACTGTTAGACTGACTCACTAGCAGACATCACTACATGAGGGTATACAGTATTCAGTACTTTGCCAAACAGTCTGCCATAGTTCTGCCACGGTGTTCTTGGCGCAAAACCAGCATTTATACTTTGCCATGTGGCTGATTGCAATCAGGGGCAAACTGCACTCAGCTGCCAAACTTTGTGGGCGTGTTTACGCTGGTATATCATTAGCGCAATATCCTTTGTGAATAGGACATTAAGACGGAGCAAACTGCGGGTGCAAGTGAAGTGCAATTCAAGGTGCTATCAGCGGCAGCAGTTCATTCTTTGTGAATTCGGCCCTGAATGTGTTTCTGAAAATATTTGAGGGGAGAAATAGACAATGCAGAAACAGAATCTCAATTCCTATTTGTTCAGCACTGCCTAGTTTGACCACAGTGATTAAAATGATTGTCAGCTGTGTTAGACACTACTTGGCTCTGATTGGTTGTTTTCCTTTAGCCTTATTAGATTCCAGCAAATGCCATCAAAAGTGCTATGAAGTGGAGGCGGAGGAACATGATTTTTTTCATGGACTTTCTGCCTCGTGTAGATGTAGTGACAGTTTCAGCAAATATAACAGAAAGTCATTTTCATAAAAGTTACCAACTGTAGCTTTAATGAAGGTAAATACAGTGAATGGCCGTGTGTAATGGCACTGCACTTTTGAATGGCCCTCCTGCTCTGGTTGCTGCACTGCCCTTTAGATAGAAAAGCATATACAGACTTCAATCTCATTCTGTTCCCAATAGAGGGGAAAAAAACAGATACAATGACTTCCAATTTGCAGCGCTTAAGAATTTATTTGTATTCAATATGGATCTAGTAAGCATTGGAAATCAATCATGTGTGGGTAAAACATACACACAAATAGAAAGATAAATCACAACAGCACAGGAGAAGACAAGGCATACTCACACGTCCTCATCAGAACTGAGGGCATGAGACAATGAAAATTATTTATCATAATCTGACAAAACCAAAAGTAACAATATGGGACAGGCATCTGTAGAACCTGATTGGAACTGAGGACAGAGCCTAGTTTGTGTTTTGTGTATGTGTATTTATAGGAATAAATTTATCAAATACAAGTATCTGTAATGTCTGGAGCATTAAAATAGTAGAACTCAATTCACATTTATTCAATATATGTGCATCTATATGTCTCTTCACATTGTGAAATGTCAGGATTTAGATCAACACAGCTTTGAATTGAGAAAAAAATGATGCAACTTTTACTTTTCTCAATTATTAGGCATGTTGATGATTAAATATTGCCAATAGCTAATCATTAAAAGCTAATAAATTACAAAATGCATGTTTTCCTTGATAAGGCTTGCTCAAGTTGAGAGAAATTAGGCATTTGTATGATAACTAAACTGAAGTAAATGATCTTAATCATAAAACTGCATTAAATATTTCCCATGTGTAGCTTTAAGCTTTTCTTGAGGACATAACTTAAACTTAGAGGGCATGTGAAACTCTACTTATTCTTATAACAACAAAAAGAGCCCTAGCCTACAACCACTGATATCAAGATAGAAAGACTGAACATTGCAGGTACAAATGGCAAAATTAACAGCAGCCATAGTGAGCTGGTTAGATGAAGAGCTGCAGTCTGGGTCAACTCAAACACTTTTACTGTGCTATTTTATCCAAAAAGAAAAGGACTCCAGCTGTATGGAGCTTTTTTCCTATGTTTATTCAAGAGAGTGGTATATCGTATGTTACACTGTAACCTTGGTTCTCTGAGTCAAGAGACTATCTCTCCACTCCGTTACATATTCCATATGTACGGGGTATGATCCCCCTGCTTGTCAGGGTATGTGGATAATTCTTTAAGACACACCGGCTTGCCCGGCCACGCCCCATTGCGTAGCTATAAAGCGCCTGCGCTGGCGTGTAATCACTGATAGTTTTGATCGAAACGTGTCTCCGAGCGGCCTAAGGATTGGAGAGATAGTCTCTTCACTCAGAGAACCAAGGTTACAGTGTAACCATACGTTCTCTATCGTCTCGAGACTATCTCTCTACTCCGTTACATATTCCATATGTACGGGGTAGATCTTTAAGACACCCCGTGAGGAGACGGTGCAGCCCACAATCCCACACCACAACGTGCAACAATCAAACTATTTACAAATGTACACTATATACAACTCACAGGAGTAGGCCCCGCAAGGCGCTAGGGCCACCCATGGGAGGGAAGGGCTGCCCGGGAAGCCCGCAAGACGCAAGGCTAACCCAAGGGGGACAGGTAGGGGCCCCGCAAGACGCAAAGGCCATCCTGTTCACGGAGCAGCCACTCAATCAGCCTCCAAGACGCAAGGCTGAGGGGGAGACAAAAATGTCTACCGTCGGGCCACGCCCAGCACCCGCTTCCCAAACGAGGGGCTGGCGGCCACGTTCAAACGGTAGAACCTGGTAAAGGTCGACTGGGACGACCACGTGGCGGCGGAGCATATGGAAGCAAGGGAGGCCCCCCGCCACAAGGCCCATGAGGCAGCCACACTCATGGGCCTGGAATGTGCCTGGACCCCTGATGGAACAGGCACACCCGACAGTACATAAGCCTGCTGAATAGTGTCTACGATCCAGTGTGACAGCCTGGACTTCGACAAAGGCCTGCCTAAACACCCAGGGTCATAACACACAAAGAGCTGGTCAGACCTCCGGACAGCCTGAGTGCGCCGAATGTACTCTGTCAAGGCCCTGACCAGGCACAGAGCAGACTGGCCCTGCTCAACCTCCTTGCCAGCACTAGGAGAGGAGAGAGACCTAAGCTCGACTGACTGAGACAGATGGAACTCGGTAAGGACCTTAGGCAGGAAGGCTGGGTTGGGGCGGAGAACCACACTCGAGCCATCCGGGGAGAACCGACAACAGTCACCATGCACCGACAAGGCATGGACTTCACTCACTCTTCTCGCCGAAGTGACGACGAGCAGAAAGGCGGTTTTCATGGAGAGCCACTTCAAATCAGCACCCCCAAGAGGTTCAAAGGGGGAATGCTGAAGGGCCCCAAGGACGACATCCAAGTCCCAAGGGGGAACTGCCGGACCAGTGGTACGCACCGTGAGTCGCTGGGCCCCCAGAAGGAACCGGGAAATGAAGACACAGTCCTCCAACTCGCCGATACGCACTGCCTTGATTGCTGCCACCAACCCTCACAGTGTTACAGCAGCTTTCTGTGCTTCAAGCTGGGACTGCAAGAACCGCAGGATCTCCTGAGCCGGAGCCAAGTAGGGGTCCACCTGCTGAGACTCACACCAGTTGGTAAACACCTGCCAAAGGTGAGAATAAGCAGCCCTAATGGATGGTGCCCAAGCAT